TAGCCTGCCAGACCTTCTGTTATCTCGGCCATCCAGAGTTGGAGGTCAAAGCCTCTCCTCACTCCTTCCTGCTCCCTCCGCCTCAATATTTTCCCTCCCTTAACTTTCTACAATCCGTACCCTGTACCCTTACGTAAAACATAAAGTACCCTTATTACACACCGCTCCTCCGTTCCATTCCTGGTTGAGACATGTTCTCCCACTCCTCTCCACGTATATGCTTCCACTCCTCCGTTCCATTCCTGGTTGAGATATGATCTCCCACTCCGCTCCTCGTATGCACACCGCTCCTTTGTTCCATTCCTGGTCGAGACATGTTCTCCCAATCCACTCCTTGTATGTAATCCAGTCCGTATATACCACACCTCATCCATAATGATTGTTCCTTCTCTTGTAATGATTGTCACATGTATGTAACTATGCTATCCCAACACCTCTGCTGTATGCTTTTGGCATTGGAACAGGCACAGCACACCACATCCCCCCCCAACTTAATGCTGTCCGCAGCATTCCTGTGGAAATGCCAAAAGACCATCGATCCTCGTAATTTCTAACCAAGACTTCCGCAATAACGTCCTTCGTCTTCAAGATCCAATCTGTACCAAGTCCACTTCCATCCGTAAATAGGTCCATTGCCGTCCAATATCTAATATTCAATCCGTATTCCGTTCCATAAGATAACCGCTACAACCTAATCCAAGACGCCCATGAGTTATTTCAAACTATTTCATCTCACCCGCTCCAAGAAGAGGTTGTTGGCCAAAAATCCAGCAAGGATTAATTAAACCACTCAAACACTTCACTCTTTCTCTCTTCACTATCACTATCACTCAAACTCTCATTCCAATGTATAATTCTCGCTGGTCTTATGAATCTTCAAACATCTTGACGTATAAATATTCCACGTTAATTTTCCGTTCCACGCCGTCCATGTTGTTGGTTTGTTTCTTCTCCTTCCAAGTCTGTCTGTTTTTCCATCATCCTGTTACATTTCCAAGTCACCATGTCCTTTTGTCCATTCCGCCCAGTGCTCGTACCGCCGTGTTCTTTTCTTCTCTACTCATTTACTAACTACCAATTCATATTTGCACGTTGTTAATTGCTTAATTTTGATTAATTCTGTTTGAATTTGTTTGAATATGATTAATTTCGTTTGAATTTGACTAATTTCGCTTGAAATGGATTAATTTCTCTTGAAATTGATTAATTTCTCCCACCCTATTCCCTCAGCTAAACAAAGATCCTGTTTGCCTACCAAATGCTTTCCAATACTCTATTAATTCTAATTTTTCTGATAATATTTCCATTCAAATTCAACCGTCCGCCGTTTTGTATATTTCTTGAGTTTCCACGCTGTAAATCCAAATGTATCCACCTTTAATACCTGTAGTCATAGCAGTTTTTGATCTCATGCTGAGGAGCTAAAAGAATGAATTATCATAGCAGTTTTATCTCTTGCTGAGGAGACGGTGAGCAGTTTTATCTCTTGCTGAGGAGACCACAAGCAGTTTAACCTCTTGCCAAGGAGGCACAAGTAGTTTAGCCTCTTGCCAAGGAGGGGGTCACAAGCAGTTTTACCCCTTGCTGAGGGGGTTTTTGTTTTTTTTTCCATGAACTTGTGTTCTTCAGAATTTTTGATGCCTATATCATGCGCAGTTGCGCGTCGTTCCGCTCGTTTTGCTTCAACTCCAAAATTGTGTATGGTGCGCTCGGTGCGCTCTCCAAGGTTAAGTCCACTCGGACTTGATTATGTAATTTAAATTTTTGCGCTTGGTGCGCTAGACTCAGCTAAATCCGATCGGTCTTAGACTAGAGTCGTCCTCAGACCTCTACCATCAATCCAGAAGAGAAAGATCGGGTTTTCCTCTCCTCCATCAACGATAACCGGTAAGTCACATTGTTCTCTTTTTTTTTCTTTTTCTTTTTTTTTTTTTTTCCTCTGTACAATTCTTCAAGACTGACAGATCGTTTACTAATTTCTTCATAGCTAACATCTCGGGATCGATCGTTTGTCTCTGATGGCATGCACTCTTTAATCGCTTACCGATCCGGAACCCCAAACCGTACGTTCTTCTTTTCTTTTTCTTTGTTTCTCTTCTTAATCCAACTACTTTTTGAATCTGCCACCCACAATTTTCACCTCCTCAACCGCTATCTGATCTCATCCTGACCGCAGCACCCTTTTTGTCGCTTTTCAAGTTCTTCATCTCGAATTCGCCTCGGATCGTTCTTCACATCGCTAACTCGAATCTCACCCGCCTCGATTCTTAAGAATGTCAAGGACTCAAGCCCTCTTTTGCGGCCATTCTATTATCACCAGTCACCTGATCCAATACACAGCCATCCCCTACAATCATCATTGCTATCCGCGCTAACGAAAAGTACTCGAACGCTGCCGATGTTTCCGTTTTGTTCTATTGGACTTCGCCTAAAAATGATGCTGCTGTTGCCGCCGTTGATTTTGCCATCGCCGTTCCATTCGCCTATTGCATGCCGATCTCCATAACCATCGATCCGATCCACGTCCAAGTCGCTTTGCCCGTTACTCATGTATCCTCTGCCTCGAACTTGCCACAACCTCTCCGATCCTTCCTGGTTAAACCTAGCTGCCGACTCGATCTCGCTACTTGCATCTCCATCGTTTGTTCCGACTGTACTACCCCCCATCGATCAACCAAAGTCTGAATCACTGCCGCCACCCGCTGTCGCTATTTCTTTCCCATTCATGTATTCAGCTACGCCTCAATCCGTTCGCCTATGTACATAACATCGATCCGATCTCCGTCCCAGTTGCTTTGCCTCTAGCCTATCTAAACCACACCGCCATCTGCGCGCCGACAGCCATAAGATCGATCCCATTCGCGTTCTAGTTGCTTTGCCATCTCCATACCCGTCTGAACCGTCCAGAGCTATCCTATTGAGCCCAATCATAGTGGAAACACCCCCTTCGTCGTCAAAAATCACTGTCCAAGCATTGTCCCTTAACCTAGTAGTTGTTGTCACTTCCGTCTTCTCCTGCTGTTCAATCTTACTTTTCCTATTCCAAGAAATGCAAACTAACACTATGACTAAAAATAACAAGAAAAGAGAAGAGAGAAAAAAACCTTCCAATTGCTGACTTATGAATTGCTTGATATCTTTCCCCATCATCCAAATTATACACAACTGACTAACACTACAAAAGTAAAGAAAAGGCCTTTTTTTTTTTTTTTTTTGCTCCATTGTTTCTACTTGTATAAATAAAATCAACAGAAAAAATCTTGTAACTACTGTCTTAACCTCCTTTTCTTGCACTTTCTGCTCTACATAAATTTATTGTCAAAGCTAGCAACAGCTTGATAAACCTAAAAAAAACAACTTTGAGAGATCCTAAGAAATTTTTAAAAAAAAGATTTTTTTTTTTTTTTTTTTTTTTTTGAGAGACACATTCCCAAAATCAACCTATCTCAGGTAATACAATGAAAAGTATTCAAACCAAACCCAAACTATACTTAATATTACAGAACTAACCACAACAGGAAAAAAAAATTAATCCGCTATAGCGGCATACTCCCAATCTTTCCAGAAAGTTTTGTAATCTGTTCCTCGGCGAGCTTGTTCGTCTCGTAGCACCCATTTAAACGCATTCCAGTCAATTTTTCCAAACAGTCCAACCATTTTTGATACCAATTCTGCTAAGAATTTTTCTTCTTCCTTTCGACGCTTTCTCCCACTGTATCATATTTTTTGTTCTTCCACTAGGTACACCCCTGTGATGTTTCCTAAATACATATGATACCGATCTTCAGACACGATCCACCAAGTTTCTGGCCAGATATTATCATTCTTCAGGTAGCCTTCCGTCCCGTCATGATCAAGTAGCATTATGAAACCAATACGACCTGTTGGATACCCCGGTAGCTCCTTCCAATCTCCCTCTGCTGTTGATCCACGATTCTCAGGGAACATTCTCATAAATTCTTTATGTGGGTATCCATCATCAATGTAATCTGCTGTGATCGTCAATGTACCTGCCACGTAATCCTCTCTTTTGCCAAGGTTTTCCATACTGCCAGCCTCCTTCTGTTTGTTGTCTTGATCCAAGGTTTCTTCTAGTTTGCTTACAACTTCCGCCGGTCTGATGTTGTCCTTTGATCCACTATTGTCCATTAATCTGCTGTCGTCTGTTGATCCGCTGTTGTCTGTTGATCCACTGTTGTCTGTTGATCCGCTGTTGTCTGTTGATCCGCTGTCATTCATTGATCCGCCGTGGTCTGTTGGTCTGCTGTCCTCCGTTGATCCACTGTCGTCCGTTGGTCTGCCATTGTCCGTTGATCCGTTGTTTGTTGATCCGCTGTCGCCCATCAAAATTGAATTAATGCTCATTGCTGATCTGCCGCTCTTATACTCATAAGTCTGTGCTTGCATGCTGGAATGCTTATCTGATATCCTCCGCGGTGGAGCCATTTCCCAACCTGGAATCTTGGGAGAGCAAATAGGTATGCATAATCTTCCTCCATCCCATAACTCATAACTCAGTATCTCCCCACGACTCTTTGATAATTCTAGACGTACCTTATGATCTGCTAGGAATGGCCTTCCCAGCACTGTATAAACTTTACCTCGAGCAATAAAGAAATTAGCTGCCTTCTCATCTTCTTCATCAATGCAAAAATGAACACCTTCGGCTAACCCCACAATAGGTGTTGAATGTCCTCCGATTCCCATGATATTCATACTGATCTCCCGTGCTGGTAACTTCAACTGGATCGCCAAGGTTTCCGGCATAATATTCATTTCTGCTCCCGTATCCACTAGCGCTCTGATTTTCTGGCCAGCAATCCAAACCTCAATAAACCCCAAAGGACAGGCATAAGTAAGTGCATTATTACCTAATTTCGTACCCTTTTCCCGATGTTGGTGAGGTTCCCTATCGTCAAAATTCCTATGATCACATCGCCCTGAGTTCTGACTTTGCTCCAATGGAATTGAATTATCTTCGGCTTCTGTCTGTAGTTCCTGAAGAAACTTGGGCGCAATTAATAATAGTTCCTCCAAGGTAAGTTTGAAACTTTGCTTTAGAAATTTCTTTCTAAGTCCCCCCCCAACTTTAGACTGATCCACGGTTCGGGGAAATACTTCTTTAGCTGACTTCTCTTCTACCCTCTTCTCTGGTGTTTGTGACACAGGTTTCTCCGCTTCTGCGTTGTTGCCTTCGCTACTTTCGTTGTCGGATTCTCCTTCCATCCATGCTCCCGGATAACTTGGTCGTCTCTTGCGAGTAGTTGCGGGATCTTTATTAGCTTCCTGATTTCCAGGCGGAGTCTTCGAGGTGGATTCCTTCGGTTTTCCAGAAGTTTCTGGTTTGGATGCTGGTGGCTGTACTTCCTTCTCCTTGTCTTTGTTGGTTCGAGCGGACCTTCGCAGCCCAAATCCAATCAAATTCTCCTCGTCTTCCTCCCCGTAGTGCATTTCCGGTGGACTCCATGCTTCCCATTGATTCGTAGAGATCATGGACGCCGTTGGTTCTTGTCTTGGTTGTGAAAACTGATCACTCATCATCAGATTCGCTCGTTTCTCACTGGTCTCCTTGGCTGCATTTGACTTTTCACCAAATTTCCTTACCAATTCTCGAATTGATTCTCCGGTGTCTGTTGGAATGACTTCCCAGTTGGGGTAATAGAAGTTCGGACCTTGCTTGAAAACCAGACGTTTAGTAATATCTTCATTCAAGTGCTGACAGAACATTGAGGTATGGTCCATCTCCTTGCAATAAAAACATTGCAGCTGTGGTCTTGGAAATGACGGTCCTCCTGGTCCTGGCGGTCTAAATCCTGCATTCGGTGGTCTCGGCGCTGAAAAGTGAGGTGGAAATGGTCTAGCGTTTTGATTGGTATTCATTTCGGTTCGTAACTTCTTAATTTCCTCCTCCAAGTCCTTCACTTTGTCTGTTCCGCTATCTGATTTTGTCTTGGCTTGAACTTCCCGTTTACTCTCGGATTCCTTGATAGCAGGTTTGGTTTTAGTGATACCCACATCCAAGTCATATACCGATAACGAGGCTTCCACGTAGTCCTTCAAAACTTCCAACTTGGGTACCAGCGCCTTTCCGTCCTTGGTCTTCTTCAATTTCTTGTCGTGTGCCAACTCCTTCGCCACGTCCCGTCGCATCTCGGTTGAAATTGCCTTCCAAAGTGGTTTGCCACTTGTCGCATTCACGTCCTCGTAATCCATCTTCGTCAAATACGCCAAAATCTCCTCGAGTTCGCCAATAAATGTCCTGTATTCCTCCTTTGTCTGAATCCCGCCTTTATCCATGTGCTTGCTGACCAATGTCGAAACCGAGTTCTCGTTAAATCGCCTAAGAGGTGTTGCTCGTCCCCATTTCCGAATGAGTTCCTTCTTCAAGAGTTCCCAATCCCGATTCTCGTGTCCTTCCATATTCTCAATACACTCACTAATCTTCTTGTCTTTGATCATGAAGGGTAACTGAAGTGCTACGTCCTGTCCGCCAGCTTTGTGCAAGGAAGCTATCTTTTCCACACGCTTGATGAATAATTCCACTTCTGATCCATCAAAGTCCAAATTCAACTTCCTTGTATCTAGAACTACACCCTTTTCTTCGTCAGAGAGCTTGATTTCGGATTTCGTCCTAGTTTGACTAGTTTCTGATGAGGTTACCGCCAGACCTAGCAAGCTTTCTTCTCCTGCGCCAATAGTAGTTTCCATTCCCGCCATTCCGGTGTATGGTGTTGAAGTTGCAAATCGTAAAGATTGCCCTCGTGGCGGTGGAGTCTCCGGTACTGGTATATTCTGTGGTGTCTTTACTTGCTTTAATAGTGACATCACCATCTGCTGCATCTGTTGCACTGAGTCCTTAAGTTCTGCCATCTCGGCTTGCTGTTTTAAGTTGATCGCTGATTGTTCCATGTTAAATTCCTCCGAGGTCGCCATTTTTGACTTTTGATTTGAGTTTGCAAAGTACTTCCTAAAGAATTCTGCTATTACCTTCCGTTCGCCTTCCCGCCGCTGATCTTCAATACTTGATGTGTTATTTAAATCCTTTGTTGTCCTGAATAAATTTCCCGTCTCGCCAATCGAATCCTTCTTTTCGCCAATCGAATCCTTCTCGCTAATCAGATCCTTGTTCTCGCCGGTTGATTCCTTCTTCTCGCCAATTAAATACTTTGCCACTTCAATCGTATCCTTTGTATCGCCAATCGAACGCTCCTTATCGCCGCCAAAATCTGCCTTCTTCCCGTTATCCACGATTGATTTGATGTTGAGGTTGATTCGCTAGAAAAATATGATTGATTCGAATGATCTTGATGAAGGTAATCGGCCACTGTTGGGACACCAGATGTAGGACTCCTGGGACGGATAGACACGGTAAAGTATATGTATATCAAAAGATCCCTTGAGGGGGAAATAAATTGCAAATAGGTTGAAAGGCTATTACAACTTACGGGTGGTTTGAAAGACCTTCCCCTCTAAATGTACTAAACAAATAACTAAGAGTCTTGTAATCAATATTTAATAATGTATGGCTGATTCCAAGATAGATCTTACTTTCGTAAAGTAATCTCTATCAGACCTAGATCACGTATCAATCTACTAATGAATCTGTTACAACTTCAGGTTAATAATGGAAACTGTGGTGCCGATGACTTGAGCACGAAACAGATAATTTGTTATAGAGTTTGTTAATGATCTCTTCCTCGAACAATTTCTTGCTAAGGCACTTTAATCAAAAACTAGAGCTCCGGTACTAATACTACTACTACTTGTTATTGGTTAATTGTTAATGTACTACTACTTATATGATGACTACTACTACTAATATGCTTCAAATTCCGAACTCTTTGTTGGTTTCACGCTTACAATACTGTAC